GTGTTTGCAGGATCGGGGTCTAAGTGCCAACCTCACTGAAGTCAATGACAAAACCCATTTAGACTATTCTGGGCTAGGATTTGGTCTCTAAGGGCTTAAGTGGTGTGGGCAGCTTTGCAGGGTCATCTGCAGTGGAGCGAATGTCAACTTTTAAAACATTCAAAAGAATGGAAATGGGGAAAAATGTAAGTTTTTCATCTACTATGATACATCTGCACTCTGTGTTGTACATCCTAAAACTAAAGTCAGTTATTATTAGAGTGTAAAAGTTAGTGTACAGAATTGAGAGCCATGAACTCTTATATTCAAATCCCATCTCTGACAATGACTTGCTGTGTGGCCATCATCACTTAGTATACAATTTTCAAAAGCCCTTAAATGGCTTAGGAGCCTAAAGTCCCATTTTCAAAAAGTGACTTAGAGACAGATTTTTATCTAAAGATGCAGACAAGTGCCTAGTGCAGTGGAAAAAACAGTAACGTTTTTAAAAATGGGGGGGGGAGAACAAAATACAATGAGAAAATGCATTTTGTTTCAAGTTTTTCATTGAAAACTTAAAAACCTGAAATTTTTTGAATGAAACTTTGTATGAAAATTTAAAAAAACTGAACAGCTCTAGTGCATTTATTAAACCAGATTACAGATGTGTTTATTAAACTGTGATAATACCTTTTCCTCCTTTATTTTACAGATGGGGAACTGAGGCATAGATAAATTTAGCCCCTGCAAAAATGTATGCATGTTTCACTTCAGATATGTGGGATATGTCCTAGTGGATTCAAGTTAAACACATGATTTCATTGGGATTCCTCACCACAAGTGTGTAAATGTATCTTTGAAAGCTCAGACCCTATGTGACAGCAAGATAGTGACAGAACTGGGACTAGACTCCAGAAATCCTTGCTCCTGCTTGGCCATTTACCACTGGGGTGCAAAGTGATGCAGGGACCGATCAAGACAAAAACAATCACGATCTGCTGCTGGCTTCAAAACAAGTAGTAACAAAGAAACCCTGGCGTGCTTACAAGTAAACGATGGGTTCACTAGAGAAAAAAAACACTTATTTATATGGGGCTAATAATTCACCCTCAGAGTGGAGTTTACAGTCCCAACCTCCTTCAGACCTGCGCACTGCCACTCATGGGCCTGCCTCGCCACATCTCTTTGCAGGCAGCCTGTGCCGCAGCCTCTGTCCAGGGAGGACTTTCGCGTGGCGGGCTGAGCCTCTCCCCGGCAACCTACCTGCGGCCGCCCCAGACCCTGCCCCTGCCCCGCGCCGACAGAGGTGTAGCGGCGGGCTCGCGGGCGGGCTGCCGAGCGGAGCCCTCCCGGGGAGGGGGCGGGCGCTGCTTGGGGAGGAGGAGCCGAGCTGGAGCAGGTGGAGGAAGCGGACGGGCTGCGAGGGAGCAGCAGGGGCTCGGCTCCAGCGCTGGAAGCGGGAGTGTGGCCGCTGGCTGCACGGCCGGGCCTCCAGGTGCGACTGGAAGCCGGCGGCACCCAGGTGAGCTGCTGGCGGGGGGACTGAGCCTGTCTGTTCCTGCTCCGCTCCCTGGGCGGGTTCGCCTGCTGGCTTAACCCCCTCCAGGCCGTACCCCCGGGACTGCCGGCGGGGCTGGCCTTGGGGCGCCCTTCCCGTGGCCCTGGGCGAGCCTCCCGCCCCTTGCCTTCTCCTGCTGCACGGTAGGAGCGGGGCGACCCCTCGCCTGCTGCCCCGACTGTCCCCTGCTGCCTTCCGCGGGACGGGACGGGCTGCGGGGAGGCCGCTGGTGGCTCCGTCCCCGCCAGCGCGGTGCAGCGAGCGCTCTACACTGGGGGCGGCCGCGCTCTCCTCTCCTGGCCGGGGGTGTGTAGCATTAGTCACCGGGCGCTTTGCAGACTAAGCAGCATTGCTTGGGTCGAGGGCTGCCGGGCTAATCCCGTAGCCTAAAGGCGGCTGGAAACTCCGATGACTCACAGTGGTTTAACAATGAGTTTTGTTGCAAATGCAAACATTCCCTCTTGGTGAGCCGGGCACGTTCTGAGTTGCTAGGACCTGTTGGCGTAATGTGTGTTTTGCACCCATTATTTGGCTTCAGAGAAATTACCTGCAACAGGTCCAGGCTGGAAGCTCAGCGTATTATCCCCAGGGCTTGGAACCCAGCATGCCTGATGTAGTTACTTGGTGCTAGAAAGGTGCTTATGGTAGGGTTGCCAACAGTCCCTTATTACAAGGAATGGCCCTTATTTCTTCATCTCTGTGTACAACAAGATCAGGACTTGCTGAGTGCTGCAAAAAGCAGCAAGAAATACCTCTGGCAAGTGTAGGTGAGTACTGCTTATTACTATTGACCATATTAATTATAATAATGATAATATGGAGAGGAGGGATGGGGTGCTAAGAAAGCAGTCCCTCATTTTTGACAATGTTGGCAACCCTAAAAATAGTATGCCCATCACTCAGAGGAAAGTCTCTGTGGTGGTCCTTAGGGGAGAATGGACCCAACATCTTACCCTTGCAATCAACATTCACTCCTCCTTTCAGATCTCTCTTTGGTTTGTATCAGGGGGTAGCGGTGTTAGTCTGTATCTACAAAAGCAACAAGGAGTCTGGTGGCACCTTAAAGACTAACAGATAGTTAGTTTTGATAGATAGTTGGTTTGTGTGGCTGCAGATGGAGGGCGGGACAGAGCAGCTCAGTAGGGTGAGCTCAGAAGTCTGTTGTATTTAGGGTGACCAGACAGCAAGTGTGAAAAATTGGGACAGGGGGTGGGGAGTAATAGGAGCCTATATAAGAAAAAGCCCCCAAAATCGGGACTGTCCCTATGAAATCGGGACATCTGGTCACCCTAGTTGTATTTGAGGGAAAGTATGGGGGAGACATAACTTAAACAACTTAAATTGTTTCCAGGTCAGACTTGATGATCTCAATGGCCCCTTCTTGGCCTTAGAATCTGAGTGGGTGCCTTGTGCTGTCTTTTAAAAATCATCACTTTCCAACTAACTTTGAGCCTTTTTGGTGTTTGAATTACAAACTGTAGGCATTCAAAGATGCTTCCTGGCATTTTTCCAGTCAGATGAGAGTTAGATATTAAAGTGTAAGGCTGAGAGGCTTTTTAAAGGTGCGGGGTGCAAAGAACTAGATAGCTTAAAAACATTTTTCCTCAGTGACAGCGATGTAGTAGTAGTAAGATATTCTGTAAGCCCCTTAAAGTTTTGAAGATCACTGTCCCCTGCTTTAAACATACCTCCAGCCCCCTCAGGGTTTGCAGCCACCATTTATCTGAGAAACTGAACTCTATGAACATCACTGCTCAGGTCACCAGATTTGGGGAAGCTGGTTTGGGTAGTAGCATGTAGTGGGATCTGGGTCCTTTAACCTCTTAGGTGACCAGCTTGAATCCAGCCCAGGTCAGTGATGACTGAAAGCTATTGCCATCCAGAATTAATGGGGGAGGAGAGGTGAATTGGCCTGCTTCTCAGTGGAAAGTTCACATTACAGAAAACACCATAATAATTGGTACGTTTTGAGCTTGTGAGTAACAGAGGAGCCCAGGAATAAATGAGCATGGGAACTGACCTGCTCTTGTACGCCTAGGAGGTGGCTATCATGGGTAGGCTGTGGGCACATCATTGGGGTGATCTGGAGAAGCTTCTCCTGCTGCTGTCTGTGCTGTACTTGGTCTGTAGATGAAAAGCACTTCAATTTTCAGTGTGGTGTTAATCTGCCACTTTTCATGAGTCCTAGTATTGTATTTAGTTAGAGGTATTTAAAAAAAATTATCTGATAAGTTTGCTGCTGTGAATGGCTAGTCTCTGCCTCCTACTAGCTTGTGGATCTGAAATCAATTCACATGGCCAACTACATATCTGCCTTCTTATTTCTAATTTTTATTTATTTGTACAGGAATGTATAGCTGCAGACTCTGGTGCATGTTTTATTCAGACATAACTTGCACATCAGATGCAAAACATTAATTTCCTTTTATCTCCAAAGATGATAGAATGTTTCTCCCCTGCCCCCTTCTGTATTTTGCAGTGAGGAGGTGAGTCATTGCTCTGGGCAATGCCCCACTGATAGGTAGTCACTAGTGAGCCCGCATAGTGGTGGGTTAAATGCTGTTTCCTTTATAATCTCGTCTCTGTGTGTTTTTGTTATAAATCTCCAAATGTTCAATAACTCCTTTTGGCTTGAATTTTTTCATGCTTTGTCAAAGGCAGGAAGACAGATGTTTTTTTCTTTTCTTTTGGGGTGTGAAAGGAACCAGTTTTGGCAAAGATTTAAATCTTTGTATTTGTGAGCTCTCGTAGCTCAAAATGTCTTGTTGCAGACATTTCAGGCTGGTTTATACAGACTTGTTCATAAGACCAGTTTTGTCACAGTTTAGATCCTGATCCTGTAAGTTCCCATGCACAGACAGATGCTGCACCTAAGCTTGCAAGAGCACATCCTTAGTTTTCAGTTTACTTACTAAAGATCAGATGCTTAAAGGGATGCCGTCAGGTCAACCTAGATTTTCTTAAATAATATTTGACAAAACCTAATGGCAATAGAAATGTTTCCACTGAAATAAAAATATGTATGGGAACAGTTTATTTTTAAAAGCTATCTAGCATTCTAATGTAGTGGCTGAAAACCAAACATTGCAATTATTTTCTTAATGCATGCAATCAGAAACTGAAAGATTAAAAACCGAATGGTTTGTTTACATTGCTCAAACGGATAGAAATGCAAGAAGTGGACAGTCTAAAGCCCTGAGTCTACAAACTCTTACAGCTGTGCTTAACTTTACCCATGTGAGTAGTCCCACTGCCTTTGATATGAGTAAAATTAAGCAGATGTGTGTTTGAAGTACAAGAACCTAAAAGGTGAAAAATAAACTCGATTTCTAAAAATCTAAGGTGCTAGCAACTTAGGTGGTCAACTCTTTTTTTTTTTTTAATATCAATTTTAACTTGTCAGTGTCCCGTTACTATTGGAATTTCTGTCTGGTTGCCTGGTGTTGGACATCTGACAAAAACAACAATTACAAGGTCTTCTGGCAATTCATCACATTTTTACTTTCTGTGGGACACGTAGCCCTGTGAGCATCTGGTCAGTTAATTGTTGGTGGTTTAGGCCCTGGTCATACAGACGCTTACAGATGCGAGTAGTCCCATTATACATACAATTACTTATGTACGTATGTGTTTGCAAGATTAGGATCTGAGTTTATTGCTTCTGCAGGCCCTTTTAAGATTTCTAGAAGTGTCAGATTTTGCCAAGATAACTGATAGGTGAGTCTTATAATGTGGGTGAGGTGTTTAGCAGTTACCACCTCCATGAGACCTTTCCTACCCAGATGAAGTGGCCCAGGAAGCCTCCAGAGTTTCATCAGAAATATCAATAGACCTTGGAGTACTTCACCCTGCATTCAGTCTTTTGATGCAGAGGATTCCATGGGTTTTTGTTGATGCTGAAACACCTGAAGGATTTAACAAATAGGAAATGTGTGACACCTTTTAGGGCCATGGATTAACCTTCAAGGGAAGGAGTATTATAAGTCCTCAGGCCTATCCATGTTGCTGGGGGGGGGAAATTCTGTTAGGCCTCAGGTCTTTGTGACCTACTGATCCTTCTCCAAATAGCCAGCAATGCTTGTAACTTCCATGGAACATCACTCTCTTTTAAATGTGTCCCTTAAGTGAGGCACTTCAGAGTTGCCTCTAAAGGCTGTGGTGGGTTGGGGCAAACCAGGGTATTACAGGAGTCTGGGAGGGAGCTGGAGTGCAGGTGATTCAATGGAGGGGTCATAGGTAAGCAGAGATGATATGAGTGCCTGGTTGAAAGGAGGCTTTTTGGGAGGGGTGTGGAAGGATGCTGGCCACCTTCTCTAATGAGAATGCGTAATGGAGTGTGTATCTTTTAAACTCTCTCTTTCACATATGTATATGTCCACCAGTTCTCACGACACAGATGCATTTAATGATAATTTGTTTTTGTTTTTTCTCCTGGGCTTTTCCAAGTATTCTGTGTTAAAGTGTCTAGATCAAATAAGGAATATAAAACATCCTTCACTGAAGGCTGAGGCTAGTTTAGGAATCTAAACTATGATCTTTGTTGAAAAGAGTCCATGAAATATATAGAGTGCTAATTTTTTAAACTACACTGTGAAAACTGTTTCACAAGAACATAAGAATGGCTGTACTGGATCAGACCAATGGTCCATCTAGCCCACTATTCTGTCTTCCAGCAGTAGCTAGTGCCAAAGGCTTCAGAGGGAATGAACAGAATAGGGCAATTATTGAGTGATCCGTCCCCTGTCTGGCAGTCAGAGGCTTAGGGACACCCAGGACTTATAGCCACTGGTGGATCTATCCCCCATGAACTTATTTAATTCTTTTTTTAACCCAATTATACTTTTGACCTTCACAACAACCCCTGGCAATGAGTGTCACAGGTTGACTGTGTTGTGTGAAGAAGTACTTCCTTTTGTTTTAAGCTTGCTGCCTATTCATTTTTTTGGGTGACCACTGATTATTGTGTTCTATGAAGGGGTAAATAACACCTCCCTATTCACTTTTTCCACACCATTCATGATTTTATAGACCTCTATCATATCCCCTCTTAGTCATCTCCTTTCTAAAATGAACAGTCTGTCTTTTTTAATTTCTCCTCATATGGAAGCTGTTCCATACCCTTAATCATTTTTGTTGTCCTTCTCTGTATCTTTTCCAATTCTAATATATCTTTTTTGAGATTAGGTGACCAGATCTGCATGCAGTATTCAAGATGGGGGATACCATGGGATTTGTATAGCGGCATTATGATATTTCTGTCTTATCTGTCCCTTTCCTAATGGTTTCTAACATTCTGATAGCTTTTTTTGACTGCCGCTGCACATTGAGCAGATGTTTTCAGAGAACTATCCGCAATGGCCCCAATATTTCTTTTTTGAGAGGCAGTACCTAATTTACACCCCATCATTTTGTATGGGGTTGGGATTATGTTTTCCAGTGTGCATTACGTTGTGTTTATGAACATTGAATTTCATCTGCCATTTTGTTGCCCAGTTGTTTTAGATCTCTTTGTAACTCTTCACAGTCAGCTTTGGACTTTACTATCTTGAGTAATTTTGTATTGTCTGTGAACTTTGCACCTCTCTGTTTACCCCCTTTTCCAGATCATTTATGAATGTGTTGAACAGCACTGGTCCCAGTACAGATCCTTGGAGGACCCCGCTATTTACCTCTTTCCATTGTGAAAACTGACCGTTTATTCTTACCCTTTGTTTCCTATTTTTTAACCAGTTACTGGTCCATGAGAGGACTTCTAATCTTCCCTCTA